ATCTATGGTGGGACATCACTTACATTCACTATTAAGAAAGATGTTGTTAAATATACAAACATCAGGTTATTACGCCATATTACCAAGTAAACTTTCATTCAAAGCTGTTGCTAGTAGTAGTTAATACTGGAAACTTAGTGCAAAACTATCAATAAAGAAGTTCTCCAGAATATTGTTTGTGAATTTCATGATCTTGTAGTGGAATATTTGAAATTTCCTCACAAGTGCGGGCAAATAATGTGACGTTTTAGATTTAAAAACGCGGTAAGGGAAGAAAAATAGCAAAAGGACAAACAAAGAAGCAAACCTTGACGAAATGACAGACTTAATTGCATGGAGAGGGGAGGGTGGGGGCGAAGGGGGTTCCCTATATTTGGAGACACCTCGCTAAGTTACAACTCATCTCTTCCCTCCTACCACCCAGCCTTGTCTGTGAGAAAAGGTGGGGGAAGGGGTAGGGGGGAGGGTTTATAGAATTATAACATACATTTGTGATGACAACAACGATGTGGAAAATGACTTGCACATGAGCGATACAGACTCTTTACCCTATGGAAATCTAAGCCCATTACAAAATAACTAAGAACTGTAATGCTTCACAGATGTCATATCAGGAATAAATTTCAAATATTGAAATCTTAGTATGGAGTTCCAAATGAGGAAAAGTAAGTTACCATGACGGTAAGCTTTCATAGCCTATGGCTGACTCATTTATTGGAAGCATTAAATTCAAGTTGGGCATACCATCAATTCCCGAGGATAGTGTGTCACGGAGTTTTTCTCACCTTTTATTACAGAACCAGAACGCACAAAATGATCCTTAAATTAAAAAGCCAGAAATCGAGTAAAAACGGTTACATAAAGAAAATAAGGCTGAGTAAAGGATTACTCAAAGATCAGAAAACCATAGCAAAACTTAGCGCTCTTTAGAACGAATAAAATCGGAAATAGACGAGAAACTCCTCAAAACCAACACGCCATGCTCTTTTTTGTTTTTATGCGAACGCCCGGGCACACTCGACCCCAGGGTCACACGTGTGGGTAAGGAACGATATGGGAAGATGTAGGAAAAGGAGAACCAGAACGCACAAAATGATCCTTAAATTAAAAAGCCAGAAATCGAGTAAACATGAAGGTTACATAAAGAAAATAAGGCTGACTAAAAGGATTAATCAAAGATCAGAAAACGATAGCAAAACTTACCGCTCTTTAGAAAGAATAAAATCGGAAATAGACGAGAAATTCCGCAAAACCAACACGCCATGCTCTTTTTCTGTTTTTATGCGCACGACCGGGTACGCTCGACCCCAGGGTCATACGTGTGCGTAAGGAACGCTCATCACAATAGGATGCTATGAAGATATGGGAAAAGGAGAAACATTGGAAAGCAAAAAGACGGCCCCTTGTATTCTCCGAAAAACATGCTGAAAACTTTGGGTAATATTTGTAATTATGATAGAGGTTGGATACGACACGCGCTATATCGGTTGAAAGGGCGTGCTCTATCAGAGTATAGAGCATGGACTGATTTAAAACTATCACGCTATCTGCCAATTTGTGCTGTGTCTAGCGTTTGTTCGTTAATTAATTAAAGTGGCAATTCGCAATAAGCGAGCAGGTAGGTACTAACAGAAGAACTAATCAAAGGTTTGTAGGCATGCCAAGCGCCCCAATTTGCGATATCATAACGCGTGCAAGGACAGAAAATCCTTAAAGAGAAAAGGAAATGGACAACTTGAGTTCCGAAGGCTTTCATGCCCCGTCAGATTGTAAAGTTACGTACGATAACAAAAATCGAACACAGCTAACACTCGTCTATTATATAAAGTTTCGTGTTTAAAACAAAACAGAACAGAAAAAGTTTTGGTGAAATTAAACTTGAAAATATATATAAAATGGCATAAATATTAGTATTCATATAAATCGTGTCGATGTCAGAGCTTCTGCGATCATGCTGAGGTGAATCACGGCTAGCTCATCTGGTGATACTCGGTCCTCGGAGTGAAGCACGCCTCAGAAATTACATAGGCCACGCGTCCTTTAGGTGAACTGAACTGTGAGCTCGCTCTGATGTCCTTTCCGATGCTTTGAGTTGATGGCCATATCAGTCACAGCAGCCAACTTTTACGGCGCTGTCATCCTGAGTAATATTCTTGTTCCTATTTTTTCCTTCTTTTCATGTAAACAAAAAACAGATAACAAAAAAAACAAAACAAAACAAAACAAAACAAAACAAAAAAACTAGTGCGTCTTTTATATATGAGCCACAATTCTGGCGGGTTTCAGTGAACATTTCACATTCAGGAATTGTGTTAAGACGAGCGCTTCAGGCAATGATGTTAAATTCGGACCGCCAAATTCGAACTATTTCCTTTTTTGTGAGCTATTGCAGATCGTGAACAAACTTCGATGGTATATAAACTTTGATGGCTCGACAGTTTTAACAGCTTTAGTCTTGTTCAACCAATCGGATCACTTGAACCATTCTAACAGAGATTCTGATTGGCTCATTGTAGTCTGCATTATGAGAGTATAGAGCATGTTGACGACACTGTTGTTCGCACTAAAAATAAAGCTTGTTTTGAAAATGGAAAATAATGCGTAGGAAATTTAACAGATTCTTCAGTAAAAAACAGATAGAAGAGCCATGACTGTATACTGTTCTTCTCTTTTTGTAGATTAAATGTTTATTCACGCCTGTCATATAGACAGAATTACTTTTAGCATTTTTCATTCCTTCAAATTTCTTTCTTCTCTTTGGTGATGAAAATATGGGTAAATTTCCAAAAGGAAAACGTTTGGCAAATGGTTTCACGTTGCGTGATATTTCAGGACTCTTTCTCTATTTAATCATTTTGAAGCGACAGTCTACACTCTATAAACACTCTCACTCGCCAAATGAATGGGAAAACACCAAACTCAGTCACGGTAGTCATATCATTAGTTTTTATTGAAGGAGTTTATGGAACTGTGGAATTGTTTTGACTCCAACCTAGAATACAAGAGACTTCAATTAGTCAAAACTGGCTCGTAGGGTGAAGAATTTATGTACCTCAAGGGAAGTTGATGAGTGATACTGTAGAAAAATTCACTGCCTGACGAGTGAATTCCACGTTAAATTTCACGCGAAAACCGATTCGTATAAATGAGAAAAGAATGCCTTTCATGTATCTCTTACACATTTTTCCTTCGTTCAAATCTAGTTGAGGAAGATTACAATGAACAAGGTATGAGCTCATAAGTAACACAAAAGGAGATGATTTTCTAAAATTCCATGTATCTGGACATTATTCTTTACGTTTATTGTTTTGGTTTTGAACTTGGGATAAAGTTTTACAGGTCGTGAAAATAAGCACATTTAGGGGCATAATATATATATTAGTTGTTATGTTTGATTGCAAAAATTCAAATTTTGATCATATAATAACTATTAAAGTATATGGTAAAAATTTACAGAAAATTTTCAAATCCCTCAGACCTCAAGGTTTTCTGTAAATAATTGTTTTATTCAACATTACTCAATTATATTCTATTCTCTTCATTTGCTTTTTTAAGATTTTCTTTTTTGGCAACCTACGCGAAACGTTTTGCACGCCTAACAAAAGCTATCCTCTAATGTCTGATTTATAGAAAGCTGTCGGCGTCTAAAGTTCTTGCAACAGAACAATAGATATGGATTGGTGGGCCACGCCATTAAAAACAATTCAATACCAATCGGAATGCATATTTAAAGTCACTGCAAAAGTTGGTGTACAGTGGAAGACAGGTGTCAATCGATCAACATGGGACCCTCAGGAAAAAAAAGGCAAAGTTTTATGTCAACTGAGTGACTCGGACCACTTGCAACACCCAAATGATCTGAAATTGATGGCAGTCTTTATGTATAGGGGCACGGAGGTGAGAGTATTATTTATACTTAATTCTTTTAGTTTTTGAGTTTGCTACTGTTCGTAAGCCTTGTGTACCGTTTGATAGAGCTTCCTCGCTCATCTGTGAGTCTTCGGCAACTCAGATGAGGCAATTCTTTTTCAAAACCTTTTAAAATGAGGCCTGAGAACACTTGAATCGGTCAAAAAGGAAAAAAAAGATAAATGAGTTAAGAAAATAAAGTTCCTATGTGACGCGCGTTCTGATTGGCTCAGAGAGCATACCTTATCAGAGTATTAAGAAGGGGAAACGAATCGTTTCTCCCCCAACCGCTTACTTCGCACTTTACAACAGAACAGACCAAAGTCTAGACTTCTGCATTTGTTACACAAAAAATGAAAAACTCCAAGGATGCCCCGTATGGATAGAAAGTATAAATCGTTCGAACGAATAGCATCTGCGTTATTTTATGAAAAATAAAGCTCAGAATCTTTTCCCATCAGAACAGGTGTTGTTTCCACATGTGCTACAATAATGCAACTTGCCTGGTTGGATTTACGGACGAGGGATACAAGTGTGTGTGTCCACCTGGTTACACGGGAGACCACTGTGAAAAAGGCAAGTGTTATTTTGCACCTGCGGTCTAATAATCATGTTAGCTACTACAATTATTCGTCTCTTTTGCATTCAGGTTACCATGGTCTCGTATGCCTCGACATGTCTTCCGATGACTTACGAGTCATTTATTATCCAACTGTGCTTCTTAGAGTACAAATAAGGTCCAAGACGAGTATAAATGTCTCGCAGTATTTGTACTTCACAGGACCGCTTAGACAGGTTTTCTTACATCGCACGAGCGACGAACTGGATTGTAAAGAAAATTGAGGAAGATATGGAAACTTTGCGAATCGAGTTAGCAGAAAAGAACATGCAGATTCAGCCATTACAGTAGGACTTGTACAAACTGAAGGAAAAGTACGACAACGAGACGAAGTCACTAAGGAGTGAAGTGGAACGGCGAAGGGAAAAAGTTGGATCTCTGAAAGTAGAGATAACGAAGTTGAAGGAACCTGAGACAGATGACACCATTAGTATAATGAGGTAAGCTCTTATTACATTATAACTTAGACACGAGCTTTCCAAGGTACTTTTGTTTTGCTCGCCATAGTGAGAAGGAAAAAAGTAGGTACTATGTTTGCAACTCAAGTCGCCAATTTCAGGGTTTGTCATCAGAAAATCTTATACGTCTATCATCTGTTTGTAAGTTGGCTTGTTATTTTCTTCTTTGTATGTACGTGCCTGAAATTGTTTGCGTCTTGAGGTGACTCGTCGCAATTTCGAACTGAATCCACGCGGCAAATGAACAGCTTTGAAATCTTCACAGGGATTCTTCCAAGTGCCGATTATTACGCATGCTTGAAAGTTGAAAACTAGAATAAAAGTTTTGAAAAGTTTTTGCTTTCCCCTTTATTTTCCCTACCCCAAACACCAGTTTTAAAGACAAAAGGTTTTTACAACTGTATCCATCGCCGGAACGGTATTATAATTTTACCGAAGTTTTGGACTGCCCACACGTTCGATCGCGAACAGAAGCTCCTTTCTCCTAAGAATGGTCGTTTCTCGGAAGAGATTATGTTTGCGGAAAACTTTCGAACATACATCGCGCCAAACGCTAAACTCTACATGACGTATTTTGCTATGGTATCCAAAAACACCAAACTAACATTAAATTACACTTTCCTGCAGCAACAAGGTAGCCAAGCTTTGTTCTGAAAACAACGCGCTTAAAACAGCCAGGAGGAAACTAATGGAGGAAATGCAAAAGTTTAAGAAAGTACAAGAGAGTTCCAGAGCTAAGGAAGATTCTGGCTGGCGACTTCCAGAGGGTAAGGGTGTATGCTTTTCATTTACCCGCCGCATGCTAAACTGTAGCCTACCGTAGTCTGCTATTCACTTACCACAACTTTGGGGCAAGGTGGGGTTCTTCAAGGGAATAATTAAGAAGACATCAGCAAATTGAGAATGCATCATTTATGATGATGCGCCTTTCACATGAGCCGATCCTCTTACTATCTTCTGGAAAACTCTGACGTAACTCGGAGGATTGAAACGGTCGTGTTCCTGATATTTGATTGGCTCCTGCGTTAATCAAAGGCAGTTGCAAGATAAAATATCACAAATTAGGATTTGTTCTCATTAAAAGGGGCAGTAGTAATATTGAACCTCTTTGTCGCGATGCCCTACCCTGACTTCACCGTCTTGAGGTACTCGCTGTAATCAGACTCAAAACTGCAAGGTTACAGAATTTCAGAGACTCAAGACATTCAAGTTAATCTTTCTTTCTCTTATATCACACTTGCAGTCTCTACAGAAGCGTTTGAAAGACAATCAAGGAATTCGTCTGTTCTTGGTGAATTATCCACATGTAGCNGCCATAAAGATATGTCGGTGGGAGTAACGAAATAATTTGGATATATCAACAAAGTTGAAATGGTAAATTGGCCACCGTAACGATTACAAAAGCTGACGTTTCGAGCGTTAGCCCTTCGTCAGAGCGAATAGAGGAATTGTGGGTTGTGTGTGCTTTTAAAGGCAGAAAATGGAGCTACGTTATTGGTGGGAATATGGCAACGAGAAAAACACGAATAAGCTAGTGGAATGAAAAGCGTACAGTTCCCTAATAAGATATAGCTAATGAATAAACCTAACTGCAGAAGCTACCATTAAGAAGTGATTTGGTTATCATATTTAGGGATTGCCAATACCTAGTTGTCCCTTATTCAAACTGCACATTACTTCAATTCTGAAATGGTAACCCCAACAGGTTGACTGGCTGTGAAAATATCTAAATATCAACATTTGTGACATACAGCTATTTCAGAAAAGATTATAAGTTGGTGATTGAGTCAGTGCTCAACTGAGGGGGATTATGAAAAACAGTATAATTTTAATTTTCAGTAACACTGTGAAAATGTTTTCTGAAATGCTTTCATTTAGCTCTGATCAGATAAAGTGTCTGATGCGCACTAGACATTTACTTTCTGACTGGCACAAGGAAAAAACAACAGAGGGGTATGCTTTGTTGCTATGCCACTAGTGCGCATCAGACTTTTACAAAGAAAATGATGTGTGTGGTTCCATAAGATAATATCCATAAATCCCTTCCTCACCTCGTGGAAGGGATTGGAAATCCTAGGGGCGTGGAGGTAGTGGTTAGAATTTTTCATATATACTCTGTAAGAGGGGTGGGGGTTGGATGGACATTATCGGGAGTATCCAAAACTCTGATATTGCCAAGAATTGTGGAAACAAAGAAGTGTTCTTTTGTGTTTAAGGCATGTTGCCAGATGTGGCTGCCTTTTGGGTACATCAAATATCATATGAGCAGGATTTTCACCAAATGCAAGGTATATTGCAAAAGCAATCGCAACTGAGCACACCGCAGTCACTGCCATTGGTCTGTAACAAATCCGCTGACCATCTGGTTGTAAGCCTCCAAGCTTTTTTGGCATTTAAACTGCTTCTTAGTGTAGTAACTAGTTTCCCAAACTAGGTAGCTAACCAAGTCTGTAGCCTCGATAGATGGCAAGCATTCGGGATCGAACTGATCGCTGGAGATACTAGCAGGGTCGACTCCAACTTGTGAGATTTTTTGGAAATATCTCCTCTTAACGTGCGTTTCTAAACCTTTTGCGTACTCAGAAAGCACTGGTATATCTTTAGAAAGACTATCCAGGTCCTCATGGCAGTTTTCCTGTGAAGTATTCATGATCAAATCGAAAAGTACTGCGAGACTCGTGTGAACTGGCTAGCATCAGATTACGCTGCCGAGGGGCTCCATAATGGCGGACACCTAATTATGGATACCCCGTGACGTCAAATGAAAACAGGCAATACACAGTTAGGAGAGCTAGATAACAAATATTTT